AAATCAGTACAACCTTTGGGAGAATATAATTATACAGCATGCATCAAGAGCTTTAAAACTATGACAACCACTACTTGAGGATTCAATAGCCAGGAATTCATCCTGAGTAGATAACATGGAAGAGGAAGGAAGGGAAAAAGGAGGGAGGGAAAAATGCAAACCGGAATGAGAGATTTGCTTAAATGTTCCCTGCTGGCACATGCCACAGCCCTTTTAAATGATGCTAGTGAAGAATATTTAACATTGTGATGGAGAAGCAGTCCCAGATGTCAAGAGAAAAAAATAGAATATTAAACATGTCCTAACTTTCCTGCAGTACATATGTTTTTAAATGCAGAGAAAAAAGACTAGATGGATTTTTAACAAAATGTCAACACTGGTGATTGCTAGATGGTGAGATTAGTAGTGATTTTTTTTTTTTCTCTCTCTCTTTTTTTTGTTTTGGGGCTTTTAAATTCCCCACTATGAGTGAATATAATTTTGGAAGTCAATATGATGAGTGAACCTAGCATGAAACAAATTTGGGTGAAGGTCCCAGATGCATCAGTTCTTCTGAATGAGTTTGAAGAAGTTATTTCATCTCCCTCAATATCTGTTTCTTCATCAGTAACCCGGGGATCATGTTTATTCCTATTTTTTAAAGCTCTGAGTATTAAATGAGATAAAATGCGTGAAGGAACTTCGCACTGAGACTGACAAATAGTATGAATTCAGTGAGTGTCATCTGTGATGAGAAAAGGATGATAAATGTTTTCTTTGAATCAACCATATGTTTAAATGTTTCTCAGGCTTCTTAGTGTGCTGATCAAACATTTAGCTTCCACTAGGAGTTTCTGCGAGTCAGGGTGAGAGAGAGAGAAAAATGCCCCGTGTACCCTATAGTCTAAGGATATTTCTTTGGGGCTCTGAAAGTCATTGTTAAGCCTTTTTTAATCACAGACTAGTGATTAATTCACAGGGGCAATTCTATCCACACCTCCTGCCCCCGAGGACATTTGGCAATGTCTGGAAACAATTTTGCCCATCACCATAGAGCATCTCAGCTTCCCAGGTGGTGCTAGTGGTAAAGAACCCGCCTACTAATGCAGGAGACATAAGAGATGCGGGTTTGATCCCTGAGTCAGGAAGATCCCCTGGAGGAGGAAATGGCAACCCACTCCAGTATTCTTGCCTGGAGAACCCCACGGACATGGGTTCGCAGAGAGGCAGACACGACTGTGGCGACTTAGCACACCACACACACAGAACATCTAGTGAGGAGAGGCCAGGGATGCTGTGAACATCTGACAGTGCGTGGACTGCACCCACCACTGTGAACTCACTCCCTGCCCCAAGCTGCAGTGCTGCCAAAGTTGAGAAACTTCACTCCTGGTGTTATCACACACAATCTGACCACTGGAGGAGCGTGTGACAACGCAAGCCTGTGGCCTGACTGCCTTTGAATCCATTATATGTTTGTTTGTGGGACTGAAGTGAAAACATTTTAGAAACCCCTTCCTCCATCTAACCCCACACAGAACTCTTATTTTTTCTCTGAAAACCCACCAGACCTCAAGGTCTATTGTGCACAGGATCGTAGGTTTGTTATCAGGGTTAAAAGATGAAGCATGTTTCTGTCTTTCTCTTTTAAAATAAAGACAGACAGACCCCCTATGAACAGACTGAAGCCCAGAATTATAACTGGGAGACAGTTTGAGGTTTGGAGTCTGACCAATATGAGCTCAGTAGCTTCTTCACCTACTCCCCAAGTGACCCTGGATGAGATTTTTCACTTCTCTTAAAGTTAGCATCCTTGTATGAAAAAATAGAGCTCGCAGTACCTGAATAAGTGATGGTGATCACTAAAAATGCCAAGAAGAGAAGAAGAGAAGCACTCTTGACGGTCACTTCGTTGAGTGGCATTTTTGGCAAGCACCTCAGGATGCCCATCAAAGAAATGCATTTGACCTGTAAGCCGATGGCACTAACCTCAGGGACAGTGGACTCGGTCAAACAAATCACACAGAAGATTACGAATACAAGCTGCTGGACAAACCTGTTTTCTAAAGTAACAAGTGCTGAAGCCCTGGTCCTAGGTGCCAGGAAAGGCGTTCACAAGGCAGTGCTTTGCCAAGAAATAAGTTATCAGATCAGAAGTAAATGTCACCGGTTCTTCAGCAGCAAAATCAGCTCCAAAATGCAAAGCTGGAGAACAGCTTTGCCACCCGGACGACAGGCACTCATTTGAGAACCTGACTTAATATGCAGAGAGGGCTTGTGAATGGTTTCCAAAAGACAGGTCCCACAAGAAGAAATAGAAAAAGCTGTCAGTGAACCCCGGGGGTGTTTATCCAACCTATTAGGGAGGCTGTTGCCTTCACTACACACCTCAGGGGGCGTGCTCACGTCCTGGCCTGTCTGGAGTGAACTCCCGGAGCTGTGCAGCTCACAGGCAGCCTCATCAAGTCAGGGTCCTTGCGTACCAGACGACAGCAATAACAGTAACAAGACAACAAGCAGAAGGTAATATTTGGGGAGGTTTTAAAAAGCGGTTTTATTGACATGTAATTAACACTTGATAAACTGCACATTTTTAATGAGTACAGTTTGGTATTAATATGCTCGGTCCTACGTGTATCCCTGTAAAACCACCACTACCAATGAGTGTGTCCTTTATTCTCAAATTTCCTTTGTAATCTTTCTTTTCTGTCCCCAGTACCATCACCAGGCAACCAAAACTGCTTTTTGTCGTTATAGATCAATGTGTATTTTCTAGAAATTTTAGAGTTAGCGGAATTATACAGCATGTAAATCTTTTTTGTCTGGCATCTTTGAGCATAATGATCTTAAGATTCATTCATATTATCACATGTGTCAACAATTCATTCCTTTTGATTCCAAATAATATGCCATTGAATGCCCAGACCGTAATTTGTTTACCCATGCATCTGTTGATGGACATGTATGTGGGTTATTTTCAATTTGGGGCTATTGCTATTAGAGCCTTTATAAACATTTGTGCACAAGTCTTCATATCTATTTCCTCTTCTCTTGGGAAAACACCTAATTATGGAATGGCTGAGTCATAGATTAGGTATATGTTTAACATTTTGAGAAACTGGCAACTATTTTGCCAGGCAGCTGTACCATTCTGCATTCCTACCAGTGCTGTGTGCATGTTCCAAATCTATGTAATCACCAAAATTTTTAGCCAGGAATATCATAAATAATAAAATAATATAACAATGACAATATTTTAACTATAAAACTAGCAGAAGGGTGCTTTTATTATTAATTCCCAGAATTGGCAAGGGAACCTGGGAAAGCCTTGGCAATATATATCAAATGCCTTGGATCCTTATTTTATCAAACAGTTCCACTTGGGAGAATTTATCCTGAAGAAATAAGGATGCATGCAAAGATATGCAGCACAGCCCTGGACCCTGTGGAGGGAGGTTTTGCATCCATTAGTCTCCTCGAGAAGCAATAAAAGCTGAGCATCAGAGGTTTACAGTTTACAGTCCCCATGCTAGCGCCTCCCTTCAAACCTGGTTCTCTGACTCTCATAATGTTTTTTAATTATTTGAATTTTTTGCCCACATTTCAAAATAAGGAGCTGTCATATAAAGCTCTACTTTCTGAACATGTCTTGAAAAATTAAAAGATTAGACACACAGTGGGCCCACATGGAAGCAAAAAGCAGAACGAGGTGCCCTTCTGTGCATGCGTGCTTAGTTGCATGTTCAGTTGCTTCAGTCATGTCCGATTCTTTGCAACTGCATTAACCATAGTCCACCAGGCTCCTCTGTCCACGGCACTTTCCTGGCAAAAATACTGAGGTGGATTGCCGTGCCCTCCTGCAGGGGATCTTTTTGACCCAGGGATCAAACCCGCATCTTCTGCATTGCAGGTCAATTCTTTACTGCTGAGCCTCCGGGGAAGCCCCCAGGCACCCTGCTATGCTGGGCCAAATTTATAGAATTTATCACACACTAGCACAAACCGTGTCCGTCTATCTTCTGGGAGTACCTCTGAGGGTAGACACCAAGATTTATTCTTCCAGTGGGGAAAGAGATTGGGATTTTGGGATGGACATGTACACACTACTCTATTTAAAGTGGATAACCAACAAGAACCTGCTGCATTCGCACAGGGAACTCTGCTCAGGGTTTTTTCGGCAAACTGAATGGGAGAGGAGTGTGGGGGAGAGTGGACACATGTATCTGTGTGGCTGAGTCCCTTTGCTGTCCACCGGAAACCATCGCAACATTGCTAATTGGTTATTCCCCAATATAAGGTAAAAATTTTTTTTAAAAATCTATTCTTCCCCTCCCACCCCACCCCAGGACCTGACACAAAGAATTAAATATTTGTTGAAAAATGAACGGTTGGAAATTGCAGTTGGTTTAAAGTGTGCAATTAATTGAAACTGAATCCACTGAAAGACAGAAAGGCAGTACTCTGTTGGTGAGGTGCCAACAAGATTCGCTCTCTCCATCCTCAGGAAGAATGTAAAATCAGTTGTCTTTTCAGGACCTTTGGTAACACCGATTGACATTGTAGGTTTCCCAGGTGACACAGTGGTAAACAATCCACCTGCCAGGAGATGCAAGAGACTCGGGTCTGTTCGATCCCTGAGTTGGGAAGATCCTCTGAAGAAGGAAATGGCAACCAGTATTCCTGCCTAAAAAATTCCATGGACAGAGGAGCCTGACATGCTACAGTCCATGAGGCCACAAAGAGTTGGACATGACCACGCTACTGAGCACACACAAACAGAACAACATATGTCGACATTTTAAAGCCGCGTGCTGTTTGATCTGGTTACCCGGCTTACAGGAGCTGTCAGGCAGACAACGCTAGCACGTGGGCATTTGTGAACAAGAATGATAGCACTATTGGACTTCCCTGGTGGCGCGGCAGATAAGAATCCACCTGCCAATGCCAGGGACAGGGGTTGGATCCTGGGCCCCGGAAGATCCTACAAGTAGGGGGCAGCTAAGCCCATGCAGCACACCCACCGAGCCCGTGTTGAAGGGCCCACGGCCGCCACTGCTGAGACCACGGAGCCCGCGCGCCCTGGAGCCCAGGCTGCGCAGCAAGACGAGCCGCCTCCACGCGAAGCGCACACAGCAGCGAGGGGCCGTCCCACTCGCCTCAAGCAGAGAACGCTCAGGCAAAGCCCCCAAACGCAGGGCAGCCAGAAATAAATAAGTACAGTAAAATAATCGCTGCGGTATTGTTTGTGGAAGCTGGAAACTGTCTAAATGTCTCTCAACAGGAGGCTGGGCAAATAAACGATCATTTATGCAGCAGCATACTCTGCAGCTTGAAGGAGTCTGTGCAGATACAGAACAAGCTCCATGGCTCAGTGGAAAGGAAAAGGCGAAGTGAAGTGGGTGGTGTGTCTCCTGCTCGTATATAAGAGAGCAGGTGTGTACCTGTGTTTGCGTGTGCATGCACACTTGTATGTGCTAATATGTGCACACAACGTTCTCAGCCTCGGCACTGTTGACATTCGGAGCCAGAGGCTTCTTTGCTGTGGGGTGGCCCTGGGCGACGCTAAGACCCCTGGCTTCTGCCCGCTAGGTGCCCATTGTGCAGCTCGTTCAGCAGTCACAGCCAAAGCTGTCTCCAGACATTGCCCACTGTCCCCGAGGTCAGATCACCCCCAGCGGAGAGCCACTGGTACAGACCGTCTCTGGAGAACATAGCAGAACCCTGTGACTGTGGCTGCCTCTGAAGGTGAAAGCTGGAAGGTCATGACCAAAAGAGGGAGGTCTTGTCTGAACATTTAGCTTTGACAACATGAATATTATAAAAGTTTCATTTACATTTTTTCTGATGTCCAGATGCCTTTATTTTTTTATATTCGTGAGTACAATTATTTTTTATTTATTTAATACCAGAAACATTATGTACTGGGGTATAGCCGATTAACAATGCTGTGACAGTGTGAGGTGGGCAGCGAAGGGACTCAGCCACACATACACATGGATCCGTCCTCCCGCAGCCCCTCCCGTCCAGGATGCCACAGACGTCAGGCAGAGTTCCCTGTGCCATTCAGTAGGTTCTTCTTGGTTCTCCATTTTAAATAAAGCTGTGTGTACGTGACCTTCCCAAAGTCCTTAACTATCCCTTCCTCCGCCCCCGCCACCCCATTCCCCAGCAACCCAGAGTTTAGGGATAGAAAAAAAGAATGAAAATCAATTATTGGTTGTCTTTAGGTTGTTGGGATATTACTGAATGGTTCTTTCATTATTTCTCTCTCTTAAATTTTCTTTAATCCAGATGCCTTTAAAACAGAAAGCATTTTTTAAATTAAAATGTGTTTGACATATAACACTGTGTAAGTTTATGATCTACACATTGGGTTGATTAATTTATAATTGCAATGTGATTGCCACTGTCGTGTTAGCTAATGTGTCCATCGAGTCTCATGATTACTTTTTTGTTTGTGGCGGAAGTAATTAGGATCTAGTCTGTTAGCAAATGTGTTGTTTCTAGTACGGTATTGTTTGTAGCAGTCACGATGCCGTGTGCTAGATCCAGAACTTCTTTCTGTACCAGTTACAAGTTGGTACCTTAAACGTCTCTCCTATTCCATCACCTGTCCCCACCCCAGCTTCTAGTAACCACCATTCTACTCTCCAAGACAGAAACGGCTTTGGAAAATACAAAAAGTTCGAAAGCTGCTTGGCAAGGAATTCATATATCTCTTTTTAGTTTTTTTTTTTTTAAGTAACAGTCTAGATCATATTAGAGATTACATAATTTTTTTCCAATTTGCCCCATTTGCCAGGTGGGAAAACTGAGTCAAGAAAACAGAAAAGTCCTAAAGCCATCTTATTTGTAACCAGTTTGCGGGCGGCACCCGAATTCCCTGAGAACCAGTCTTTGCTGCCAGTTTGGGTCTGTGAGTCTCCACTGTAGAAAACAGATCTTTCCAGTGAGTTAGAAACTCAAGAAGGTAATACTTGTAACTCCTGTCTCCCAGCCAGCAAATGTCCATCTTTGCTCCAGGACTCTTGAAGTTGTACGGTGGAGGCTCCCTGCAGCCCTGAGCCTCGATACGTGACGCTTTCTAGCTGGAAACGTCACATTTAATCTCCATCATCTATTTATAACAGGAACCACAGTCTCTGTGCTGTCTACCTCCTGAGTCAGTTCTTCTGGTAAATTATGTGTGAATTATAAGTACTATCTGTATGGTGCTTCGGAAAGTGCTTCCACCTACAATCATGTTGTCATAGAGATCCTTTCAGAAAGCTATGAACAAACTTTATAGATGAGAAAATACCTTCAGAGAGGTACATTAACTTGCTCACCATCACAGTTAGTAAAATGGGGTAGCCAAGTTTGGAACCAAGATCAACTGAAAAGTGTTAGTCACTCAGTTGTGTCCAACTCTTTGCGACCCCATGGACCCACCAGGCTTCTCTGTCCATGGGATTCTCTAGGCAAGAATACTGGAGTTGGTGGCCATTCCCTTCTCCAGGGGATCTTCCTGACCCAGGGATCAAACCCTGTCTCCCACATTACTGGCAGATTCTTTACCATCTGAGCCTCCAGGAAAGCCCAAGATTAAACCTTTGCTCTAGAAGAGCCTTCGTCAACATCTTACACTTGCCAGTAAGAATCCCATTAAAAATAAAAATAACTTTCCAACTAAGGAATTAAATTCTTAATTAGGAACCCAGACTAGTGAATGAAATAAGACAGTAAAGTAGCATCATGCCAGGCATATAGTAACTGCTAACCACCTGTTAGTCATTACGATGAGCCAGAGATCTTCAAATACCAATATATATATAGTTTATTACTGAAGATATCTTAAATTGATAGTGTAGGGGTGAGGTACCCCCATCAGTCCATATTATTTGGCTGCACAAAGTTTTTTTAAACATTTGAGTTGATTTCCAGCATATCATAATTGGGCCATGTCACATGAATGATGCTGACATCGGGATTCTGCAGGAACACTGGCGCCTTTGGGCTGGAGCTCCACAGCCACTGAGCTCGGAAGACGGCCTGAGTCCTTTCTGGTTTCCACAGACTGCAGCCTGAAGTTAGGCATGCGGCCTTGCAGCCCTCACGGGTGGTTCAGAGAGGACCCCGAGATAAGATGACGAGTCTCGGGTCTCGGCTTTGCCGCTTCCCAACTGGGTGTTCTGAGGCCAGTCATTTCACCTTCCTGAGTCTCTTTGCCAGAACTGTGGAGATGCTTCAATAAAGCAATCTGCATAAAAGAATTTAGCACAGTGCCTCTTAGACAGCTTTCAATAAAAGTTAGCTCTTCCTATCGTTAGGTATGGAGGCAGAATAGCGGCCCCCTGAAGATGCCTGCATCCTGATCCTGCAATCTGTGAGTATAGTGCCTCCTGTGGCAATAGAGATGCTGCTGGTGTGATGAAGCTAAGGATTTACATGAGAGAGTGTCTTTTTAAAAAAAATTTTTTCAATTGGAGGACAATTGCTTTATTACAATATTGTGTTGCTTTCTGCCGTACATCAACATGACTCAGCCTTAGGTACCATACGTCCGCTCCCCCTTGAACGCCCCTCCGCCTCCCACCCCGTCCTACCCCTCTGGGTCGTCGCAGAGCACCGGGCTGAGCTCCGTGAGGGACACGGCAAGCTCTCCCGGACTGTCTGACATGATGATGTGCGTCTTTCCTGCCACTCTCTCCATTCATCCCACTCTCCCTCCCCCACTGTGTCCACAGGTCTGTTCTCTATGTCTCTGTCTCCACTGCTGCCCTGCAGATGGGTTTAAGAGAGTACCTTTGATCACCCAGAGGGTCCAGTATAATCACAGGGTCTCTGTAAGTGAATGATGGAGGCGGGAGGCTTAGCATCAGAGGAGCTGTGACTATGGAGGCGGAGGCTGAAGAGATGCTCTTTGAAGATGCAGGAAGGGACCGTGACTCAAGGAAGGCACATAGCCTCCAGAGAAGCTGGAAAAGCCAAGGAAGTGGGTTCTCCCCTAGAACATCCAGAGGGGATGTCTGACCTCCAGAACTGGAAAATAATAAATTTGTTCTTTTTCAAGCCACTAAGTTTGTTGCTGTTTCTGGCTATGGTTTTTCCAGTGGTCATGTACGGATGTGAGAGTTGGACTGTAAAGAAAGCTGAGCACCAAAGAATTGATGCTTTTGAACTGTGGTGTTGGAGAAGACGCTTGAGAGTCCCTTGGACTGCAAGGAGATCCAACCAGTCCATCCTAAAGGAGATCAGTCCTGGGTGTTCATTGGAAGGACTGATGCTGAAGCTGAAATTCCAGTACTTTGGCCACCTGATGCGGAGAGCTAACTGATTTGAAAAGACCCTGATGCTGGGAGGAATTGGGGCCAGGAGGAGAAGGGGACGACAAAGGATGAGATGGCTGGATGGCATCACTGACACAATGGACATAGCTTTGGGTGGACTCCGGGAGTTGGTGATGGACAGGGAAGCCTGGCGTGCTGCAGTTCATGGGGTTGCAAAGAGTCGGACATGAGTGAGCGACTGAACTGGAACTGGAACAGGAGTAGTAAGAAACTAGCATATTAGGTTATGTTATCCTCACAATAGTTCTATGAGGTTGCCTATTCTCCCCCTTTCTGCAGAAAAAAATAAAAAATAGGACCACTGAAGCTTAAGAACATTGTTCAAGAGCCCAAAGCAAGAGAGTGGCAAAACCCACAGTCAGTTTCAAAACTCTGAAATCCAAGTGCAAGATCCTCCTTGTGTGTAGTTGCTAAGTTGTGTCTGACTCTTTGTGACCCCATGGACTGCAGCACGCCAGGCTTCCCTGTCCATTACCATCTCCCGGAGTTTGCTCAGACTCACATCCGTTGAGTCAGTGATGACATCCAACCATCTCCTTATGATTCCCAGTTACCTAGGGTCATTCAGCTCCTACTTAAATGACCCCAGAAACATAAACATACTGACTTCCTGAGGCTACTCTTCCAGTGGCTGAACTGGACTTGCTATTATGTCTTCTGTACACTGAGCCACCTTCTGCTGCACTCTGCAGTACTTAAGACACTCAGTTACTAGTGAAGCAGCCCAGTTGGACTAGTGGAAATAAAAAAGGGAGGGGATTTATAACAAGGGCACAAAGGAGTCCTGTGTCCAGGAAGGCAGTTAGGCTTTCGGAAGAAAGAATGCCAAGAAGCGGGAGCTCGTGGACTCGCCAGCTGGTCACTGGGTAAGACGCTGTGTTCCCAGTGCAGGGGATCTGGCTCTGGGCCCTGCTCTGCGCCACAGCCCGTGGGATCGCAAAGAGTCAGACAGGACTGAGCAACTGAGCGTGCCCTCACACACTGGGAACTAGATCCCACTTAACGCAGCTGCTGAGCCCAGGTGATCTAGAGCCTGTGTGCCACAGTGAAGACCCTGTGCCCCAAAACAAGACCCAGCACAGCCAAAGTAAGTACTAAAGAAAAAAGTGAGGATGAGAGAATCCAGCCAGACAAGACCCTCCATCTTCCACCTCTGCCTCTCTACATTCTACATTCTTTTCTTCTATGATTGCTTTCTCCACTACTCTCTTATTATGGCGGCAAATAGCTGTCCCGTGTTTACACATATCAGATGCTATCATACGGAGAAGCAGCCTGGCAGTCCATCCCCAAGGCAATTCCACATTCCCCAGAGCAAGGATGGATCGATCTGGCTTCTGGCAAGCATCCACGCCTTGTCGCATCAGCTGTCACAGGAAGGCAGGGTTGTGAAGGACAAATGCGTCCTCCAGGGACTCACCTCACTTGAGATCGTGGACTAGGGGTACACACAGGAGTGATGGAGAAGCTGTTGTGAGCTGAACTGATACCCCAAGAGGTATCACATTTATCCCCCCCAGAGTTTGCCAAAAAACTATACAGATAGTAAGCCAGCTTCCTCCATGTGGAAGAACTTTGGGGCTTTCAAAAAGCTCCCTCTTGGGCTCCCCTGGTGGCTCATCGGTAAAGAATCTGCCTGCCAAGGCAGGAGACACAGGTTCGATCCCTGGTCTGGGAAGATCCCACATGCCTCGGTGCAGCTAAGCCCATACTCTGCAACTACTGAGCCCGTGTGCCCTGGAACCCGTGCTCCACAAGAGAAGCCGCTGCAGGGAGAAGCCCACTCCCCACAGTGAAGAGCAGCCCCCGATAACCACAGCTGGAGAAAAGCCTGAACCACAGCGGAGACCAGGCACAGCCATAAGTGAGCTAATAAACAAGCCCCGGGGCTTCCCAGGTGGTGCAGTGGCAAAGAACCCACCCGCCGATGCAGGAGACCAGGTTCCCTCCCTCGGCTGGGAAGGTCCCCTGGAGTGGAAAATGGCACCCTACTCCAGTATTCTTGCCTGGGAAATTCCAGGGACAGAAGAGCCTCTCGGGCTACAGTCCATGGGGCCAACTGAGCACGCACACAAATAGAAATTATTGAAACAAAAAAAAAGGGGGCTCCATCTTGCCTTGTGGTCATCTCCTTCCCTGGGAAACATCCCTAGGTCCTTGGGTCACCCCTCACTCTGACAGATGCCGTTGACTGACTCATCAGCCTGACTTCCCCACCGCCCCTTCAGTCTGCACGGCTTGCAGCACCCCTGTCTCCGTGGCTCACCTCCCTGGTCCAGATGTGGACTGCCTCGCTCCTTTAAACTGTGTTCTTCCTCTGCCTGCCTTGGAGCCTCGTACCGTCCCTGGACCCACCCTGTCCTGCCCCTGCTCACGCAGCCTACGATCATTTCCTTGGCAGCTGCATACATCTGGCTCGAATTGAGCTTGTGGCCAACTAGAAGCCCCAGATCTGCTTCCCAGGAGCTGCTGTCTGGCCACGTCTCCCCATTCCCAGACTTAAATAATTGATGCCAGAATCCACGGCAATCCCTGGTAAATGTTCTTATTTCTTCCATGGCTTCGTCTGGTGCAATGGAGGGTCATTGTGAATCCTGATCCTATTATATCAAGTTTTGGTCTCTTAGAAATTTCATCTGTATGCCTTAATTTTTCAGTCCTGAAGTGCAGTGATACCCAGAATAGACCAAAAATCAGTGCTCCAAGGCACACCAATGGATACTTCCTAAGTTGCCATGCCTCTATTAATCAACATTAAATATACTAAAAATACACTTCAAGTATTTTATGGTTTTATATTCCTGGAACAGGAAGGGTGGCTGCACAAATTCCTCAAATGTTTTTGATGTTTCATTTTTATAAGGATAGAAAAGACTCAAGAATATGGAGAAAGCTCTGGAAACCTTTAATTTAGATGAATCTGAATAACTCTCACAGAGTCAACAGCATTAGGATTATTGAACTTACTTCTCACATCAACCCTGAGGTATTTGTAGTCCAGTTTTATAGGTTTGTGACCAAATTACACAGAAGGCAGTTTTTTTTCTGAGATTTGAATAAAGGCTGTTGACAACCTAAGTGCTTAACCCAAACACAAGAGGTGAGCAAATTATTTTCTGTAGACGATCAGACAGTACATATTTCAGAGTTCAGGGGCCATCTAGTTTCTGTCTTTTCGAAGGGAAGGCAGCAGCAGACTATATGTGAGTAATGGACATGGTCGTCCTCAAATGAAACTTCATAAAAGCAAGCAGGTGCACCCCACTTGGCTCACAGACTGAGGTTTGCCAACCCATCCTAGAATGTTCTTCCTTCCAAATCTGCATGGCAAAACCCTACTTAAGAATTCAGCTCAAATATGACCTTTAAGTTACAAAACTAGACATAAACTGAATTTTGTCCCTGGATCATCACTTGCCAATCCATCCTCAACCATCATGCCTTCTAGTTTTGTGGGTTAATATATCTCACTGAAGAACTTGGTGTTACTGGCTGAATGGAGACCAGAGCCAGAGCCAGCAAGTTTGATGCCTTTCCTCTCCTCCAGGGCTTCCTGGTGGCTCAGCTGGTAAAGAACCCACCTGTAGTGCAGGAGACCTGGGTTTGATTCCTGCGTTGGGAAGATCTCCTGGCAAAGGGAATGGCTCCCACTCCAGTATTCTTGCTGGGGAAATCCCATGGACAGAGGAGCCTGGTGGGCTACAATTCTTGGGGTCACGAAGAGTCAGACATGACTGAGCGAGTAACCCTTTGAACTTTTGCACTTTGATTCATCTCCTATTTAATACTGCCCTGAGTGTCAGGAATTCCTTGTGAGGCTTTGTTTTGATACCTTTTTGTGGAAATCCCTGAAATAAATTCATAACAATCTAATACATACACTCACACAAGTGCACGCATGCGCGCACGCGCGCACACACACACACACACACACACACACACACACACACGCCTCCCCTTGCTCTGAGTCCTATCATGTGATCTCAGTTTCCTGGTGGCCATGCCTTTTTCCTCTGACCAGGGCATTGTAGCATTCCATGATTCAGACTTGAGTGCAGTGCTGATTCTGAGTCCTGCGTGATCTCCTGCATGCATTTTTAAAAACAAATATTTATTGACTTATTTGGCTGCATGCCTGCTAAGTTGCTTCAGTTGTGTCCGACTCTTTGTGACCCCATGGACTGTAGCCCTCCAGGCTCCTCTGTCCATGGGATTCTCCAGGCAAGAAGACTGGAGTGGGTTGCCATGCCCTCCTCCAGGGGGTCTTCCTGACCCAGGGGTCAAACCCAAGTCTCTTGCCTCTCAGGCGCTGGCAGGTTCTTTACCACTGGCGCCCCCGGGAAGCCCCTATTGGCTGCCTGAGGTCTCAGCTGCAGCACACAGATCACTGCAGGGGTGGCGCGGGCTCAGGTGCCCTGAGGCACGCGGAATCTCAGTTCCCCCAGCCAAGTGTCAAGCCTAGGTTCCCTGCATTGCACGGAGGATTCTTAACCACTAGACCACCACGAAGTCTCTGCATGCATTTAAAAAAAAAAAGGAAATGTACTACTGGAAGTTTGAATGCAGGCAAGGATAAAAGGCCCAGGGAGCAGAAGAGTGATGGGGCAGGATGAAGGGGCCACGGCCATCGTGGCGGCCAGAGGAGATGTCACGGGCGACCTTGAAGAACCGGTGCGAGAGGTGGGACCAGAGTCCTGATGGGAACGTGACCAAGTTGGACAGAGCAAAGCAGGCATTTAATGCTGATTCAAAGGAGGCTCCCATTTCCAGAGACGCACCCTCCCAGGAACAGGAAATTCACATCATAGCGACACTCACTGGGCATTCTGCAGGCAAACCTGTCCTATGAGCCTCTGGCTAGCTTAACTTTATGTTTCTCAGTGTTAACAGTTTTCAGGCAAACTGTCTGATGGGTCCGTTTAGCCTTTAGAAACACAGAAGACATAAACAGTGATAATTGGTTGGTTTTAATGACACAAGAAGACATAGGTCACAATAACAAAAGTCCTGGACTTTTCATCAGGTTTATTTGCATTTTTAATGCTTAAATAAGACTTGTTCATTTGTTGGGACTTCCCTGGCGGGCCAGTGGTTAGGACTTCGCCTTCCAGTGCAGGGGCTGCAGCTTGGGTTCCTGGTTGGGGAGATAGGATCCCACATGCCTTGTGGCCAAAAAACTGAACCGTAAAACAGAGACAAGATTGTAACAAACTCAATAAAGACTTTTTTAAAAAGTAATCCACATAAGAAAAAAAAGACTTTTGTTGTTGTTGTTACCTAATGGCCTTTAACAGAGTGCTTAACAAAACAGGAGCTATCATCAGACCCACACTGCAAATCTCAATTATGGAGTCAGGCCAACTTCTTCAAACCTCACCTTCCTCATCTGGAAAATGGGAATATGAGTGGAACTGACCTCACATACCACCAGGTGTCCTCCATTTCTCCAGTCTTGTGGCCACTCTAGATTTTTTTCCCCCCAATGTAGCAGAAATTGACTGAACAGCGGGAGGAAATGGAGGTGTTTTCTGAAGCCCCTCCCCCATCTTGGCCATTGGAAAATTTTCACTAGAAATATGTGGTCTTCATTATCCTGCCTCCCACCACCCCACCCTCCCATCTGTGACCTCTTCTGTTTATATCTCCTCTAGGTTCTTGAGACTTCTGCCTACCTTGAAATTCCACCTTTTCCCCATTCCATTGTTCTAACTGATCCTCATCAATTTTTCATATCTATCCCTCAACCCTTCTGATAACCATACTTAGATAGCTGGACTCTTCTACCCAAAGAGACCCTCGCAGTATCTGTGAAGAGCCCTGTCCTTTTGACCCAGCAGTTCTATATAATATGAAGGTTTATCTCTCTGGTAAGCTCAGGAAAACACTGCCCATTGAGACTATTCGTGTCAGCACTGTTTATAGCAGACAAGAAAGCAGCCGTCCAAATATTCAGCAACCAAGAACCAGTCAAACAAACCTGCATGTGGTCATAAAGGAGGATCTTTTGCAGTTGTAAAAAAGAGGCAAGAAGCTCTCTTTGCACTAATGTGGAAAGACACCAAGATAAGTGAAACAGCAAGATATCTAAGAAGATGTATGTTACACGAGAGTTTGCCTTGAGAAAGTAAAACATTGAACAAGAAAATGTTGGTGCGTGCTTCGCGTACAAAAGAAGACTCTGAAAGGACACCCAGGAAACTAACAGAAAGGGGCCAGAGGAGGTAGGAATGGGTCAGGTGTGAGCAGGCATAGGACTCCTCGTGCCGTTCCTTTTATATGTTATCTTTTCAAACCATGTGAGTGCATTAACACTCAAAAGCTTGACTTTTTTAAAAAAAGCTATCAAGGTGTATAGGGCAACAATAATTTTCTAAGAGGATGTTGCTGCTTGATGTTAAAATGTTTTTGTTTCTCTGCACTGTGTAAAAAAATAGATGAAATTAGCTAAATAATGTGCTTGTAATGGTACTGCCTGCATAGAATGTAGTGAAAACTGAGGTTGTTCAAGGTAGCATGTAGAAACATCACTATGGAAAACACCTGGGTAGTGGTGCCCGTATATTATCTGTGTATTAATGTGGTGTAAAGTAAAGAGCTTGGATTTTGACTTCAGACCAACTTGGGTGGAAGCCAGCTCCAACGCCCGCTGCGTCACCCTGAGCAGCTCAGGTCGGCCACAGACCCTCGGCAGCTGCGTGCGGTGGGGATCACTACACCATGAGTGAATAGTGTTCGTTTTTTCAACACGTAAACTCTTAACTCCTTACCAACAACGTGCCAGGCACTGTTTTAAGCTGAGACAAGACCTTAAAATCTAGACCAGAACTTCCCCATGAAGAGCATTTTTGCCTTTTAAAGAACACTGGCAACATCTGGAGACATTTTCTTCTTTTTTTGAATTCTTTTTTAATTGGAGGATAACCGCTTTACGATACTGTGTTGGTCTCTGCCGCACATCGGTGTGAGTCAGCCGTGAGTTCAGCGCATCTCCTCTCTCTCGGGTGGCCCTCTCGCTCACTCCCCCCCACCCCCCACCACCCAGGCCCTCCTAGCCGTGAGTTCAGTGCATTTCCTCTCTCTCGGGTGGCCCTCTCGCTCACTGCTCCACACGCAGTCATGTATATATCTCACTGCTGCTCTCTCGGTTCAGCCCGCCCTCTCCCCCAGCGGCCTCCACAGGTCCATTCTCTGTGTCAGCATTGGAGATCTTTTTTGTTGTCACGACTTGGGGCGCAGAGGAAGATGCATGTGGTGGGTAGAGACCAGAGGTGCAGCTGAAGACCCTGCGATGCACGGACAGCCCGCAGCCCCAGACACAACGTTGTCTGGCCCCGCTGTCAGGAGTGCCGAGGCTGACCTCTCCTGCCCCACCCTGTCCTGGAAAAGAGAAAACAAAGTTAGAATAAACAAGTAAAAGGCAAGTCCTGATACCGCTCCATGCCACGAAGTCAGTGAATCCAGGCATGGACAGAGTGGCCGGGATGGCTCTTGCCTGGGACAGGGGGCATCAGGGCGGGCCCCTGTGTGCACCATGCTCACCCAGTCCTGGCTGACTCTCTGCGACCCCATGGACTGCAGCCAGCCAGGCTCCTCTGTCCGTGGGATTCTCCAGGCAAGGACACTGGAGTGGATTGCCATTTCCTCCTCCAGGGGATCTTCCCAACTCCAGGAGCAAACTCACATCTCCTGCATCGCAGGCGGCTTCTTCACCACTGAGTCACCAGGGAAGCCACGGGCTCCTTGAGGACAGGACGCTTCCGCTGAATACCAAAAGGAAGGAGCTGGGCACCCTAGTGTCTAGGAGACAAGCCCTGGAGGCCCGAGAGAGAGAGAGAGAGAGAGGGAGCAAAGCTTTCAGGCCCAGCCACGCCTGGCTTGTTCAAGAAAGAGGAGGTTACCAGAGTGTGGCTGCAGTCCAGTGAGTGGAGGCACCTGGAGGTGATTCAGGGAGGAGCAGGGGCCAGACACCTGCTGAAAATTTGTTCTTACTCAAAGTATGGGAACCCGGTGGGAGGTTTCACATAGGGAGCCGGCCTGGTCAACCGTGCATTTTAAAAAGCCATTCTGGCTGCTCTGTGAGCAATCTGTTGAAGCAGGGCAAGAATGAAACAAGAAAAGCAGGTAGATGGCACTTCCTGCTGGTCCAGTGGGTAAGAATCCACCCGTCAACGCAGCGGACACGGGTTCGACCCCTAGTCAGGGAAGATCCCAGCAGCCTTGGGGCAGCTGAGCCCTGCACCACAGCTACTGAAGTCTGCATGTCCAGAGCCCATGCTCTGCAACAAGGAAAACCACCGCGATGACAAGCACCGCAACTGGAGAGCAGCCCCCTGCTCACTGCAACTAGAGAAAGCCCATGAGCAGCAGTGAAGACCCAGAGCAGCCTCATAAATAAATACATACAAAGGAAAAAAAGCAGGTAGATGCACCATCCAAATAAAAAGGGGTGGGGAGTACCAGGGAAAGGATCTGTGATCCATTTGTGGAGATAAAAACCTGCTAGGACTCTGTGGAGAAGAGAATTAATTGAATAGCCCCAATCAAATGAGTCACCTGCAGAGCAGTCTATAAACAAAAGGAGCTTAAATCTTGCAGTTCTGGAGTGAAGAAAACAAAGATGAACACCGGGGAAAATAAGAAATCTAAAGATGCAACAATAATTCCAATTTGGGGAAGGTTACGAGAGATAGTCGGTGTTCTCCGATTCTTCAATAGGAGGTTATCAGAAGACTCAGGAAATATTTCAGATTAAAAAAGAGGATTCTGAAATATACAGGTCTCCACTTCGGAGTCTGATGCACACATAAACAATGGATTGTCAGCACGGTTGACGGTGGAAAAGCCACGTCAAACACGGCATTAACTGGAGTCCATGTCAAGCCACTTGCAAGTGGCTGTTTAAAGATTTTTAAACATAGGGGATATTGTTTATGAAACGTAATCTAATCACCCAAGCAAGAATGACATGAATTCCACGGCAACTGTGGAGATTAAAGAAGTGTTTTAAGGACAAACTCCACATGAATCCCTTATCTCCCATCCCTGCTGTAAATTTTGCTCACCAAATAAAAGCTTTCAGGAAAAATGTTGAGGGATAGAGACAATCCACTCTAGGGAGAGAGACTTTCAGAATCCCACTTTGAAAGTGGGATATAAACACCACTAACCCTGTGGGATTAAAAGGCATCATTAGGCTTTGTTCTGTTTTATATAAAGTCTAAAAATAAGAAGGTGGTAATATTAATAGCAGCTGCTGTTTACTACGTGTTCTATGTGCATCAGCTCTAATTCTCCAAAGAATTTGAGGTCTTCCCTTTGTAGATGAAGAAAGTGGGGTCCAGAGAGGCTACCTGACTTGCCCAGAGACACACAGCTGTTGCAGGGTTTCCAGGCTTCTGACCTGGCGAGGCATTCTCCAAGTCATGCCCCTGTCACATCCTGAGCAAGCAGTCCAGCGCCTCCGGGCATAGGGGATGGAAGAGAAGAGACCCCACCTTCAGAGACTGGCAGCCCTTAGCCGAGCACTCTCGGTGCTCATTTCTTCAGCTCAAGGTTCCACCGAAGAGCATCTCCTCTGATTCTAATGATAAATCTAGGAATGTGGGCTTCTGCTATTCCCATTCTATAGCTGAGGGACCTAGGCTCATGTAGGTTCAGTAACTTCTCTTGAGGTCACCACCACTGATTGGTAACAGGATTTGAAACCCTCTGGAGGGAGGCACTTCGGGATCTACATGCTTAGCCAGTCCCCTGCATCGAAACAAATAGGAAAGGAAGCACAAGGAGGCAGGAGGTATGATGGAAGCGCGAACGCAGCTCAGATAGACCCTCATCTCATCCGAAGTTCGTTACTTCTCGTTGTTTTTCAGTCGCTCAGTCATGTCCAACTCTTTGCGACCCCACGGACTGCAGCACGCCAGGCCTCCCTGTCCTTCACTATCTCCCAGAGCTTGCTCAAACTCATGTCCATTGAGTCGGTGATGCCATCCAACCGTCTCATCCTCTGTTGTCCCCTTCTCCTCCTGCCCTCAATCTTTCCCAGCATCAGGGTCTTTTCCAGTGAGTGGGTGGGCTCTTTGAATCAAGTGGCCAAAATATCAGAGCTTCAGCTTTAACATGAGTCCTTCCAATGAATATTCAGGGTTGATTTCCTTTAGGATTGACTGGTTTGATCTCCTTGCTGTCCAAAAGATGCTCAAGAGTCTTCTCCAGCACCACAGTTCGAAAGCATTAATTCTTCGGCACTCAGCCTTCTTTATGGTCCAGCTCTCACATCTGAACATGACTACCGGAAAAACCATAGCTTTGACGATACAGACCTTTTCATAGCAAATATTAAATGGTAATTATGTTAGCCTGTGAGGCTGTATTTGTTCAGTGTATGTCTCCATGTAATCAGCCGTGAGAAACTTGTCTTGCTTGATGTCTCAGACACAGTGCCTGTGAGAGCCCGGCACGTGGTCCGTGCTCCACCAGCATCCTCTGTTTCTCTTGATTTTTCGGTTTGAGTCACGGAAGCGGTCACTGGAGTGGGGAAGGGGGTGTGCGGAGAGTCACAGAATGGGAGAGTCATTACCCTCACCCAGAAAGCAGGCGCGTCTGCCTCCTGCCTTCCAAAATCAGGTCTCACTCTTCCCCCAGAACCTTAACTCTAGCTCCACGTTGATCCCCAGGTCAAGAATTATCCTCCACGTGTCCAATCAAAGAAGGGAAACGTTAAAAACTTCAAAATGGGCAGCCTGGAGCTGGAAGAGCCAACCTGGAACTTCATTAGGAGTATTTAGGGCAAAATTGTTGCTTTTCTAGTGAGCGACATCTCAGGAGTGTCATTCCCTCTATCTGTGCCTAGGATGTGGTTCTCTCTGGCTGGGGTGGAATGCGTCCCGTTGATATTCTAGTTCTTACTGATCCAGCTTTACTCTGTTTCCTGCATCTTGACAGCACAGAAGTTACTTGCGTGGAAAGTGACTTTGTAGTAGGTAAAGTCGACAGATTGCGAGAAAGCTGGCCCCAGGGATCCTGCTTGGCCATGGGAGACAGTGGGTGTGTGTGAGTTGCTCGGTCATGTCTGACTCTTTGCAACCCCACGGACTGTAGCCCACCAGGCTCCTCTGTCCAAGGAGTTCTCCAGGCAAGAATACTGGAGCGGGTTGCCATGACTCCTGCAGGGAATCTTCCCGACCCAGGGATCCAGCCTGGGTCTCCCACATTGCAGGCAGATTCTTTACTGACTGAGCCGCGAGGGAAGAGTAGGGAGTAAGAAGCAGATTCGGGGCTCAGAGGCTTGCTGCGTGCGTCCTAACCAGATGCCCACCTGGAAGGTTCGTCCTTCATCTGCCACATTGAAGAAATAAATGCAGGTGAGGCCAGCCCGTAGGGCTGCACTTGTCTTGGTAGGATCAGAGTCTTGGCTTTTCAAGTCAATACACCCAGCTTATGCCACTTTACAAACTGGGCTTCCTATACTTCTCCAAGTCTTGTCTATATGAGATTATTAATAGGACATCCTTAGAGTTTTGGAGCCAAGATTAAATGAGATAGACTATAAGTCATTTAATACAATGGTTAGGGGAAAAAAGTGCTTGATAAATGATTGCTATTATTAATGTTATTAACAATCCTTCATTTATAAAAAGAGGTCTCCATTCTTTACACAAAACAGAAATCTTCACTTTCCTCTCATTTTTTTTCTTCCCCAAAAGGAAACAGAAATTTGCGGCCAGGACAAAAATGATAACACTGCTCTAAGTTGGCGCAATAGTTTACTTTTTTAGGTCACCATGTTTATACTGGGACGATGCTGGTCAATCTGTTAATACTAAAGCAAAAGGAAGTGTAGCCCAGACCTTTCAAGTGGCATCCTTGATTTTCATGTTTTACAGGCATTTTATCCCTTATCTCTGCCCATCCTTCTAGTGATCATCTGTATTTTTCAGGTATGTTTTTCCTGCACAAATCCCATCTACCCCACTTTTTGTAAGCGTGAAGATTAAGTGGACAAAGACAAATTCAATTAAGCTGCAGGCTTCAGTGGCCAGGAGCTATTTTTCTTGGAGAAGGAACGTCTCAGGGGTGGAGACGTGTGTGCACCGCACTCCTGAATGAAAAGGAGGCAGAACTTGAGTATAAATCACTCGACAAACTGAACCCTCCTCTATTAATCTTTTATTCAGAAGCAGACACTGTTTTAAGGGGAAATTAAAGGCAATCAATAAGCAGGCTTGCCTGGGCGGCTTCTGAGCTTGAGATGCAAATATTATTCCAAATTCTGGATTCCAGAGAGATCTCTCCATTGATATGTTAATAACCTCCTCGTGTTTCTGTGACCTCAGATCCTGGCAGGGCGTGAAGCTATACTTACAGGAAACAAAAGGAAAGCACTCGTAGAATAAACATTTGCTATAAGTGGACTTTGACTGTAAACCCCAACTAGCCATGTGCTAAGGGAAGGCTGGAATTCTCCGTGAGCCCCACACTGATACACTGAATGTTTGATGTGTTTAACATGTTTAAAGAGCCGCCATGACTGATTCTCTCTGGTGTCACCTGACATTTCAGCTTCACGATCATGGTACACAAGACAGCAAATGTTTTGGGGTTGTCATCCCCAAACGAGGCAACCTTTAGCAACTGGAAATACAGCCCATGAGGCTGCAAAGAATCAGACACGACTTAGCGACCGAACAACAACCAATCCAAAGTGATTGCAGCCAAATGTTGGTCACCTATGTGTAAATTCAGAAAGTCAAAAACAAATTCAGAGAAGATTTATTTAGCACCTGTTGTAGGCAAGATATGGTTCTAGGGTACTGGGGAGAGACAAACGTGTTTGAGATGCAGCTTATATGTTTAGGGGCAGATGGGCAACAAACAGTTTAGAAAGTAAAGGTCAGTGCGGTTGCGGTGAGCGCCGAGGAACGAAGCCAGTGGAAAGGGGGAAGGCCCCGAGGAAGGGTGCTGGCTTGTGTTTGACAGCTAGGGAGTCGCCCACTGTGGAGGAGTTATGGCGGTTCAGTGGTGAAGGCTCCATCCTCCCAACACAGGGGGCACCGTTTTGACCCCTGGTCAGGGAAGTAAGAGTCCCACGTGCTGTGTGGTGTGACCAGAAATTAGAAAGAAAGTTGTCCATCACAGCGAGAGTGTGGCGGGTGAGGTCCGTCTCGCCGCCGAGCAGGGCTCAGGTCACACACCTTCAGGCTCTCGGTCGTGTCCGACTCTGGGGCCCCGTGGGCTGCAGCACACCAGGCTTCCCTGCCCTTCACTGTCGCTCAGAGTTAGCTCAAGCTCATGTCCATTGCTGGGCCTTGTAGCTAATAACACATTATGAAAAATTAAATGTGATATTCAAAAAAATTATTTCTTCCTGTCTACTGACAGGATACATATCTAATTTTATTGAAGTATAGTTGATTTACCATGCTGTGTTAATTTCTGCTGTATAGTAAAGTGACTCAGCTATGCATACATAAATTCTTCTCCATTATGGTTTATCAAAGGATGTGTGTGTGTGTGTGTGTGTGCATGTTCAGTCATGTCCCACTCTTTGCGACCTCACGGACTGCCAGGCTCCTCTGTCCCTGAAATTTTCCAGGCAAGAATTCTGGAGCAGGTTACTGTTTCCTCCTCCAGGGGATCTTCCTGACCCAGGGATCAAACCTGTGTATTTTGTGTCTCCTGCATTGGCAGGTGGTTTCTTTACCACTGGGCCCAGAATTGTACCTAGCTAATCTTTAACCCTGGATGTACAAATAGAATCTCAAAGGCTGACCAAGCATATGTTTCTAAAGGATTTGGGTTTACTCATACTTACTAATTTACTATTTTTTTTAAATTGCTGTACATTTTTATTATGTTGGTGAACTATGACTTCATGTTAGTGTTGCTAACATCATTAGTATATACAAGTTGTTGTACCATGAGTCATTTTCATTTCAGACAACACTTACTGTATTCTTAGAGAGATATCAGTTTTAGAACTACATACATTAGCTTCACTATCTGTTCATCAAAGTAGAGGTTTCTGTCTAATTTGCTTTTCCAGATCTAAACTCAAATAGAGACCAACCTAATATACCATATTTCTTTTTTATCTTTTACATGAAGGGAGTTTATAATATTTCCCAAGAGTAACTTTTCAAGTGAAGTAATCACCTCTAATGTGAGGCTAAATCTTTCATAAAAGTCAGTTTTCCAGCCAAAGCCTATTTTCTTTTAAAAATTTTCTATACACCAGCGTGTGGTTGGTGTGTTGGCCAGCCTCTGAGATGGTGTCTCCTGTCCCCATTCTTCTGAAATTCCCTCCCGCTTGTATCAGGATTGGTCCATGTGACCGTAGAACACACAGAAGTGACAGAACATCGCTGCCCTGATTAGGTTCTCGAGAAACTGCAGCAAATCCCAGAGCTCAGGCGTCTCCAAGGTTCCTGCGGCCTTTTTGAATTAGGGGTATTTCCGCGGATTTCCTGAATGGCAAGTGAGAGCAGAAAATAACTGATCCTAATAAAAAATCTTAGGAAGTACCTTAAGATTCCTGGATTATCCCAAGGCGAGACGTCCTGAGGTGGAGAGAGACAGAGCCTCTTTCCGCTGTGTTTAGGGAAGACTTCAGAATTGTGAACGGTAGCGACAGCAGAGCCACTGAGAGAGCCAGCTGCGAAGCTCTTTGCCTGCTCGTCCCCCTCCTGGCTGGCTCCTCTTTAAACGGCAGGCTCCTTACCTATAACCTGGGGATGAAATAAATGCCTGTTTCATCAGTTCATCATTCAGCATATGAGCCGACTTGTGGGAAGCGCTTAGCTCTGTGTTCGGCACATGGCATATGCCATGCATATTTTTGCAAATATTAAGAGGCCACGATGAGTGAGTGTTTCAGGCACTGTGCCAAGTGAGGCATCGTGATCGCTCCCGTTCACAGATGAACAAACTGAGGCTAGGGCAAGTGAAGCAGCTTGGCCACTAGCACATGTTTCATGAGGACTGGAGCTGAGATCCAAGCCCCTGGGTTTCCCATCTAGGAGTCTTTGCTCTGAACACCTGTGTGAGAGTCAGGCCCAGAGATATTTTGATATATAGATTCACACATGGAAACAGTGGTTTTCGAGGATATTTTATCAAACTTCTGTAGTGATGTGTAGGAGTGTGTGTTCTGATTTGTTTCGGTTTTGCTGTGGACACAGTTCCTCACCCCGCTTCCTTCCCCCTCTCTCTCTGTCCCTTCCTTCCTTCCTTTTCATCCTTCCTCCAGCCTCTCTTCCTCCCTTCCCCCAGCAGTAAGGGTATACGTGTGGCTTCGGTCTATGTGACCCCGTAGACTGTAGCCCGCCAGGCTCCTCTGTCCGTGGGCTTCTCCAGGCAAGAAGTCTGGAGGGGGTGGCCATGCCCTCCTCCAGGGGGTCTTCCCACCCCGAGATGGAACCTGCACTGGCTGGCGGGCTCTTTACCACTAGTGCCGCCTGAGAACCCCAATAGGGGTATGTAATTTAGTTAAAGATTTTTGAAAAACAGGTTTTATTTTTTATTTTATATTTTAGCTGCTTTACAATGCTGTACTAGTTTCTGCCATACAGAATCAGCCGTCTGCATACACATATACCTTCCCTCTTGAGCCTCCCTCCCACCCGCCCCTTTTTTAATATTTTTCTTATTTATTCACTTGGCTGCCCTAGGTCTTAGTTGCTGCACTTGGGATCAAAGATCCCACTTTGTTTCGGCATGTGGGATCTTAGTTTCCCACCCAGGGATGGAGCCTGTGGTCCCTGTGTTGGGAGCACGGAGCCTCAGTCACTGGACCAGCAGGGACGTCCCCTAAAAACAGTAAATTTGAAACGTTCTGTGCACTTTGCCAGGGCCACAGGCTGCGGGCTGGAAAGGGACGATGGAAGAAGCAGCACGGAGAAAGGCGTGTCGAGGTCACACTCACATAAGGTTCTGGACTCGCTGCTTTACGTGGGTTCACCCTACTATGAACCAGGGTATCGATGATCCTCAGGACAGCCCTGGGAAGTGGATGCCACTGTTATACCCATTTTGCAGATAAGGAGGTTGAGGCCAGGGAGGTGAATCACGTCACACATCACGGAATAGAGAATTTGGGAATTCTCACTGAGGTTGGCCGAACCCCTTACTCCCTCCTGACGAACGTTCTGTGAAGCCTCCGAGTGTCGCTCTCCGAAGAGCAGTTGTAGCAGGCTTGCCTTGCCCTTCACGGGATCTGTCTATGGCGAGGTGCTTTAAGAAACAGGGCTGCCAGCAGGTTTCAATTGTTCTGCTCAGACTATTAATCCATCCCAGGTGGGGCCAGTGCAGGTATTTTTGGCCAAAGTATCTGGTCATTGGCTAGGCTATTTATTTTCCCTTAACTCAGACCTTTCATTTCCCCACCCAAGCCATAGGTCTGTAAAGAGTCCCCACCGTGGAGGCATACACAAATGACAGAAACGTCCTGATGCACTAGAAATGGATTGCATAAAGCCCACGTCCTTTTTTTCTGACTTTTCAGTCCGGTACCCACTTTTAAACATCATGTAAATCATAGGAAGATAACCTAATCTTCAAGTTTTATTTTTAAACCACAACCAAGGAAACACTGCGTGAGTTTTTGTGAGTATGGTTACTCACTCAAATGGTTACAGGTTCACTGGCGTTGACCATGGGTCACCAGGTCCTGACTATAAGCCAGGTCAGACCACCGATCATTCAAGCGACTCAGTTATGCTCAGAGACTTACTGTGGAAGGACGGATTTGAAAATGCTCCAAGGTTTTCAGCCCTGAGGGATGCTGTGAAACAGGTTTCCTGCATACCCCCGAGCTCCGACAAATGCCAGTCACCACAGGCCCCCACAGAACCCCCAGCAAGATGACCCATTAAGGAACTTCCTGTTTTGGAGAGCGACTGAGTTGAAAACCCATCAGGATCTGTCCCCTCCGCCCAGCCTGTCGTGCCCCCGTGGCTCCCCGCTAACCAGCTTTGCCCAGCACACACCCTGGGCACGCGTGCGGCCCTCTGGCTCCTCAGGGCACTTGCCTGCCGACCCACCAGTCACACTCCTCGCCCCCCAGGCCACCGCCCCCCTCGTGGTGCTTGTCACTTCCTGCCACCGTCCCATCTACTTGTTAATCTGCTGTCTTAAAGATGAGACTGAGGGACTTCCCTGGTGGTCCAGTGGTTAAAGAATCCACCTGCCAATGCAGGGGACATGCGTTAGATCCCTGACCCGGGACGACGCCACGTGCCAGCTGGCAACCAGGCCCGTGGCCACAACCATGGAGCCTGTGCTCCAAGGCCACCCAGCCCCCATGTGCAGCTCCCGAAGTCGTTGCGCCCTCAAGCCCGTGCTCTGCCCGAGAGGCCACCGCAGTGAGAGGCCTGCGCACTGCAACGGAGAGTGGCCCCCGCCTGCCGCAAGGACCCAGAGCAGCCAAAAATATAATTACCTAATTCATTTAAAAAATAATCAGACTTAGGCCAGTCATATGGTTATAAGACCCTAAGTCCATATGATTGACCTCCAAATCCCACTGACCATGCAGCTGGCTTTCAAAAAGATACTTAACCTTTCGGTTTCTTAGATTCCCCATTTGTAAAATTTTGCTGTCACGTTCAACTCTTTGCGACCCCATCGACTGTAGCCCACCAGGCTCCTCTGTCCTCCACTATCTCTGGAGTTTGCTCAGATTCATGGCCACCCAGCATGTAATAAGGACTGTGTCAAGATTCTTCGTGTGTTAATACAGTTCTTTTACTCATTGTAGCTATTATAAATATAACAGGCAATCTATCAACTCTGTATTGATTTATAAGTTCATTCATTTGTTACTTCGTGTTTTACTAGCTCCCCTAGTAGAAAAGGAGACGGAAATGGCAACCCACTCCAGTGTTCTTGCCTGGAAAATCCCATGGACGGAGGAGTCTGGGAGGCTGCAGTCCATGGGGTCGCAAAGAGTCGGACACGACTGAGCGACTTCACTTTCACTAGTAGAAAAGAAGTAACCTGAGAGAGGGGACTCTTGAGCACAGTACCAGGCATACAGTAGGCGCCCCATAATTTGTTGAATGAATGAGTGAATGAATGTTGAATGAATGAATGAGTCAAATCAGCAAGGGATGGAGAAATTCAACCAGAAAGCCTTTACAGAATGCAGACAGAAAGTCCTGGAGAGTGGATCTCAGTGGGCTATCCCGAAGGGCAGAGGAAGCCGCTCGCCCCCTAGCGAGGAGCAGCCGGGCGGCTGCGCAGCGAGCCCCGGCCGGCCCGGGTCCTCGTCCAGAAGGCCTCGCTCGCCGGGGAGCCCAGGAGAAGTCGGCTTCCTTGCCTGCTTCCCGGGGACTCAGAAAGTAATAACCCAAGTCCTTTCATTTCTGAGCCTGGGTTTATTTGGGTTGGAAGAGAACTATGAAGACAAACTTAAAACGTGAAATGTAAGACTTCAAGGGGAAACTAAAAATAGCTGAGTGGGATTCTTCTTTCACCCCCTCGCCATCAGCAGTATTTATCCTGGTCGGCCTTAGGAGGCACGGAGGAGGAGAGCCGCTGTTCTTCAAAGGAACGCGGGCGGATCTGCGGCGGCAGATGGCCCGGGACCGTGCTCTGGCAAACAGCATCTTTAAAAACATCTGCGCACGCACAACGCTCTCCTTTTCTTCCTGACCTGGGCGGACGGCAGTTTCTCTACGTTTGTTCAGCTTTGCCTTTATCGCCACTCCCCCACGTTCTTTCTGATGAAATAGTTCAAGACTCATTTCGAAGCTCTCACCTGGGGAACAGTGAAGACACCAGCTCCTGGGCTCAGAGCAACTGCCTTCAATATCGCCTCGTGGTCTCAGGCAGCATCTGGACCCGGCGGCTGACGAGCAGGAGCCCCTGGGAACCTTCCGTTCGCGTGCTAGACACGAAGGAGGGTGGAGCCGAGGGAGGGGCCGGCAGGGGAAAGGGCTCCGAGCTGGGGTTCGGGGGCGTTTGGAGAAGACTTTCCGGAGAGGCGATGCTGGAGTAGAGACAGAAGAAAGTGTTGGGTGAATGGCTGTCCACAGACTCTGGGAGAAAAGCAGTCCAGGCAGAGGGAGCAGCAGTGAGGTGGCCCGGAGGCAGGAGAGCCCGCGTCCTGGTGAAAGAGCAGCCACGAATTAGGAGGAAGAGCGACTGGAACTGCATCTGCAATCTCCCCAGGGGCTTCCCTGGTGGCTCAGCAGCTAAGACTCCGCGTGCTCCTGCGGGAGACGTAGGTTCGATCCCTGGGTCTGGAAGATCCCCTGGAGAAGGGAATGGCTACCCACTCCAGTATTCCTGCCTGGGAAATCCCACGGACAGAGGAGCCTGGAGCCTACAGTCCATGGGGTCGCAAAGAGTCAGACACGACTGAACAACAGCAAGCATCACCAGGGCAAGGATGACAACCGTAATGTCTTCACTACCAGCCTTGAACAAGGGTCTTAACTTCACTGTACCCTGGTTTTCTCAGGTCTCCAGTGGGAATAAGAATAACATCCACCTTATAGAGTTGATGTGAGCATTAAATGAAACAATATTTGCAAAGCACCTAAAGCAGTGTCTGATATATAGCTATAAGTGAGCTGTTACTATTATTTATGATTAGCTTTATTATTGTTGCTAATTTTACATCACTTTTGTACATGCTTGAAAACTATTACTTGCTCCTCCTCACCACTAAATTCCTGACTTCAATGTTTTGTACTTGAACAAGGTTAATTTTGGGCTTCCCTGGTGACTCAATGGTAAAGAATCTGCCTGCCAGTGCAAGAGATTCCTAGGTTCGATTTCTAGGTCAGAAAGATGCCCTGGAGGAGGAAATGGCAACCCACTCCAGTATTCCCGCCTGGGGAATCTCATGGACAGAGGAGCCTGATAGGCTATAAAAGTCAGATAAGACTTAGTGGCTAAACAACAATCAGGTTAGTTTTATCTTTCCTTGAGCAAAACCCAAATGATCACCCACTTAGACATCGAGTCTAAGTGGATCGAGACATTTGAGTTTCTGCTGCAGTGAAAAAGGACTCAAGTTTGGGATGAAAGGCTGCCTTCGAGACAATTTAGTCTAAAAGTTAAGCTGGGGAATAAGAGTCAGCCCATTCTTTTGTTTCCTGCTCTGTCATTGACCTGCTGTGTCATAGCTGTTTTCCATTCCATGACTCAGTCTTCCTTTCTGTAAATGAAGGGGCACACCCCGGAGTAAAAGCGAGCCTGGGATTGCCGCGAATTATCTACGTCCACAGAATCACGTTGCTGTCCACTCCCGGAGACCTAGTGTGGTCCTAGAGGACCAACAGCTGTACAGTCACCTCAGGTAATAAAGTAAAAATAGACAAGCTCCTGGCAGGACTTGCAAATGCTTGTGGTGTGTATCTGATGACAAAGGTGAAATCAGTCCTTTCCCCAAAGTCTGAAATAGGTATTCGGTGGGGTGAATCATACTTAAATAAACCTCTTCTTTGAATTCTATTGTATTCTTGGAAATTTTTCCAGAACCTTTAGCACAAGATGAAGCCAGGAATTGACTGAATTGCACCTGAATAAAATGTGATAGAGATTACACCTGTCTCTGCTCAAAAGGTTAAGCGAAAAAGACTGGGAATCCTAAACGCTCTCTGGCCAGTTATTTACATGCATGAATTAATCTTTTATGCCTCTTTCTCCTCTGTAACATAGGAGTTACTCACTCTGACAGCCTTCACGTTGCTACGAGGATCAAAGAAGAAATAATATGACAAGAGGTGCTTTGAAAAGGACAGGAACAAAACCTAACATTTGGACCAAGCTTTCAAAGATTTTTTTTTTTTCATCTCATTTGATCAATGAAAACAAAATTTCTTACATGATCCTTATAAAAAAAAAAAATTCTAAAATGTGGGTGCAAATAGACTTTTTCTAACACACTTTCCTAAGTCTGCAAACCTGAGGGATTTTGACAAACTTTTGCCAACCAGAGAAGTATCCTGTAAAGCTAAAAGTCTCAGTCTTCAGAGAATAGTTTGCTGCTTCACAAATATTTAAATCCTCCCATGCTGGGAGTTTATTCTTTCAGCACATATTACTAAATAAAGCTCCAGTAATTAAGTGTGCGTGCTCAGCCAGGTCTGACTCTTTGCGACCCCATGGACTGTAGCCTGCCAGGCTTCTCTGTCCCTGGGATTCTCCAGGCAAGAATACTAAACGTGGTTGCCATTTCCTTCTCCAGAGGATCTTCCCAACCCAGGGATTGAACCCATATCTTTTGCATCTCCTGCATTAACAGGCAGATTCTTTATCACTGAGCCATCTGGGAAACCCAGTAATTAAGCATACTGTTCTCCTAACAGAAGCCAGTTTCAGATTCAAAGCTTGAAAAGCTTCTCAATTTGTGCCTGGCCAGTAGCCACCACTTTGCTGAGTTCCTGTTGTCTGTGTAGATGGAGGGGAATGCAGGAAGAGGGAGCCCCTTCCTCAGTTTCACCATCTCCACCTGCCTCACCCGCCTTCAGCTTCTATTTTCTATTTAACCTGAGTTTTAAAAAACAAAGTGAAAAAAGTAACAGTGCAGTGAAACTTCAACCAAAAAGTAACCTGAAAGTAAAAAGGGTAACAGATTGTTTTTCAGTACTGGCTCTGATGATAAATAATCCACCTGCAATGCGGGAGACCTGGGTTCGATCCCTGGGTGGGGAAGATCCCCTGGAGGAGGGCCTGGCAGCCCACTCCAGTGTTCTTGCCTGGGGAATCCCATGGACAGAGGGGCCTGGCGGGCTACAGTCCAGGGGGTCGCAAAGAGTTGAACAGGACTGAAGCAACTTTACACACAGCACACTCTTAGTCTCTGAAAAAGGTTATTTTTTATTCATTTATTTATTTTTAGTGAAGTATACTTGATATACAATGTTGTATTAGTTTCAGGTATAGAGCAAAGTGCTTCAGTTACACACACACACACACACACACGTGTCTATGTATATATGTATACATATTCTTTTTCTTAGATTCTTTTCCCTTATAGGTTATTAAAAAGGTTGGTTTTTAGATGTGATTTTGCTGTTTAGCATTCCAAGGTAGGGTTTGATGCCTTAATCTAGTAGGATGTGGCTTTAAAGGATGAATTACAAAGAACATCAGTCATTTGGATGATTCTTTTTTTTTTTAAATCTTCAAAACCTTAAGGAGAGTGTGTGAGAGAGCAGGGAATCAAACACTTCCTTTTTGTTCAGCAGTCAAGCGTCCATAACAACGTAAGGAGTCCACCTTGTTCTGGGGGTGGGGTAGCATTTGAGGTCAGCTTCCAAAAATGAATGAACTAGGAATGCCCCAAACCCGGAAGACCTTTGGTATCTGGAGGCTCCTCATTCTTAGAAGTCAAGGGATTTCTGTTTATTTTGAAGTGATGCCTTGAGGGACTTTTTTGTTTGCTCGTCTGTTCTTACCAGTCAATTTTATTGGATTTATTTGTTTATTGATTGATTGATTATACAAACAATGGAAGAATACTGGCATGTATTTGATTGAAAATAGAAAATTGCCCCCCTTTCTCCGACACACACGCCTTCCTCCACCCCCGCCTGTTTCTCGTTTACTTCCTGTGTTAACACTGAGGGTGTATTCTTCTTATCCGTCTTCTGTATTGTCACACACACACACACACACACACACACACACTCGTGCTCTTGTCTTACCCAAAGAGGAAACCATATAGTATTCATAGTCTACAACTGTGTTTAATCAACAGTGTCTCCTCCTGGCGAAGCTCAGTCCGTCTCACTGCTCTGAGCTTTTTCAAAGATAATCTTGCATGCTGAAACCATGTTAACTTTCCACTGCCTTCTGGAGGCAACTTCTTAAGGAAGCTTTGAAGCACGCGGGGGGCTCACCTCCCCTCCTGACTGAAGGAAGCCAACGCCTTCAAGCCCCCGGAAGCAGCGCTGCCACGCCCCCTCGCCCTGTTCTCGCCTCCGTGCAACAGACAGAGTTCACTTTTCCTGAGGGCTGCGGCTTTGAGCGCCCAGACCAGAGCAGCTCCCAAAGCCAGAGACAGAACAGTCATGATTTTTCTTTCCTTTTTTTTTTTAACAAGGGGATGTGCCTTGAGAGAGACAAGAGTTTAACCACAGTGACAAACTGCTCAGCTCAATCCTACCCAGCGGGGAAAGCATCTGCTTTCTTTCCCCTGCCGGCCTACTAGTGGGTTTTGTCACCTGATTCATACAGATGAGCTTACTGCAAACAGGAGGAGGACACGAAGCTCCAGGAAGTAGAATTGTGTGAGGCTCCTTTCTGAGGGGACGTGTATGTGCGTGTCCGTGTGCATCGCGTGTTTTACATGCACATTTGTAACTTCGACACTTGGCCTGGAAGGATGTTCTGACAGAGTAAAGGCAGGAGGCCCCAGCAGCAGGCCAACCAGCGCAGGGGTGGGAACAAGCCCCAGGCAGCTTCACCAACCCTTAGTTCAGCCAGCTGACCAGTTCCAACCCCTCTCCCGAGAGAGCCAGGTGGGTCCAGAGGCGACTCGGGTCAGAGTCCTGCATTCAGGTCTGCATTGTTATTCAGTCTCATCTGTCTATTCCTTGGGCTTCCGTGATGGCTCAGTGGTAAAGAATCCACCTGCCAGTGCAGGAGGTCCCTGGGTCAGGAAGATCCCCTGGAGGAGGAAATGGCAACCCACTGCACTATTCTTGCCTGGAAAGGCCCATGGACAGAGGGGCCTGGCAGGCTACAGTCCAGAGTGTTGCAAAGAGATGGTTGGACGTGACTTAGTGACTAAACAACAACAATATCCACTGAATAAACATTGTTATTTAGTTGAGTCTCTCTATTCCTCAGCTTTGAAATGAGGAAGAACATACATCTCTATCTCTTATGCAAACCCTTATGGCTGAATATGCTTCTGGAATTAGGGAATTGGGGACTTCAGAAGTGAAAAGTGATGCTGTGTCGTTAGGTTGCACAGCTTCTCAGCAGAGCCTGGGGCGGCACTCCTAACCCACCTCACTGCTGTGTTTGCTGGGAAACAGA